AAATTGGATAAGTTGTCAAGGTCCAACTGCATGTCACTTGTAAGAATTCCACTTTAAGTAAAAAACATCAATAGATTAAAAGTAAAATGATAGAAAAAATATATGATGGGAGATGGATTGCCTATATAATATCACACAAAGTAGACTTCAGAGCCAAGTACATTACCTGGGGAAAGAGGCTGTTTCCATAGTGATAAGGGATACAACGGTTTCAACAAACCAAGAGGACATAACCCTAGACACTGATGCACCTGGTAAGAGATGGCCAAAATACAGGAAGCAAAAATTTATAGAATTCTGTCCACATGTATAGTCGGAGGTTTCAATATCATTCTCTCAAAAATCGGTAGAATGTCTAGGAAGAAAGTCAGTACGGGCCCAGGGGACCTAAGAGTGCTCTTGACCAATTTGACCTCACTGACATTTATAAAATACACCATCCAATGGTGACAGGAAGGAGCAAGAAATATACAGAAATTCTCAAGAAATTTAAAAATATTCAAGGCATATGAGCCATAATCTCTGACTATAGTATAACTAAGTAGAAGTCCATAACAGAAAGATCTTTGGGAATTATTCAACAAAATCATAATCTTAATAACATTTGGTCCAAAGAAGAACTCATAAAAAAAAAGAAAGTGAACCAAATGAAAATGAAGTCACATATAATATCAAAATTTATGAAACTAAAGCATCACTGGAAGGAAATTTTATAACAAAACCCTTGAATCTGAGAAGATACAAATTATCTTGAGAAACTAGCAAAGAAGATTAATTTAAACCCAAAGTCATCAGAAAAAAAAAATAAAGATCAGATTGGAATTTAAGTGAAGTAGAAAACAGAAAAATCAATAAAACCAAAAGCTATCTCCTGAGATCAATAAAATGTATAAACTTCTAGTCACACTGATCAAAAAAGTGTCTATGCAATCCCACATCAGGAGGAAAAAGGGGACTTCACTACAAATCCCACAAATACTAAAGGGCAATCAGGGAGGGGCGCCTGGGTCGGTTGATCATCCGACTTCAGCTCAGGTCATGATCTTCTGGTTTGTGAGTTTGAGCCCCGGGTCGGGCTCTGTGCTCAGTGTGGAGCCTACTTGGAATTCTGTGTCTCCCTCTCTCTCTCTGCCCCTCCCCTGCTTGTGCTTTGTCTCTCTGTCTCTCAAAAAATAAAACAATATTAAAGGAGCAAGAAGGCAAGAGTATAAACAAGTTCATGTCAATAGACTGAACAACATTCAGGGGATGACATAAATGTCCAAAGCTACCTCAAAAAGAAATGGGAAGCCTGACAGCCCTTTATCTTTCAGGAAATTGAGTTTTAATATTTTAATGTTCCCACTCTAAACACACACACACACACATAGAAACCCAAGCTCAGAGAGCTTCCCTTCCTCAAACATTTGAGGAAGAAATAACACCAATTCTACAAACTCTTCCAGAAACCTGAAAAGGAAGGAATGCGTCCGTCCCCTTGTTGTGAGGACTGCTTGCTTACGCTGACATCAAAGCCCTCTCGGCCTAGAAAATGACGGAACAACGTCACTCGTGAAGAGTGATGCAAATACTCCTACCGACTTTTGGCAAAGTGAATCGCAACAACACGCTTAACCATTACTACGTCACATCCCAGCCCTTGCCTGGGCCACTTTCCGTCTGAGTGGACAACATGGCACTGGCACAGACAGGAGTCACGCCCCAGGGTGAGGCGTTCGCTGGAGGAGAAAGGTTGCTCTACTATCACCATCATGATGACCTACTGAGCGCAAGGGAGAGGCCACACTGGAAACAGCATCGCGCAGCCTGGGGGAGGTGGGTTTACATGACCAGCCCGGTGTCAGTAGATAATTAACCCCCAGGCTCCGGCCTGGCCGTTTCACAACAGTTTGTGATGTGTACATGACAGACGTACCTGCCCAGGGGGTAATCGGGCAAAGTCTGGAAACTTCCTTGTTTTGCTGGGCTTACGGGAAAGTTAGATGACATTTCTTGTCACACGCCCTCGGAAAAATACGTCAGTCGCTGTAGGCAGCCCCTCCCGTGACACAGGGAGGGTCTCTCTTGCACTGAGCTTGCTGGAAAGCTCATTTAGAAGTGGGGGCCGGCTGCAGCACAGGGGTGCTGTCGGCAGGGAACCCCAGGGCAGGGTCAACCGTGAGGCCTACCAACATCTACAGGGACACCGCAGCCTTTAGGAAAGCACTTGCCAAGGCACACAAGAGAAAATGCCGGCTCGGCCGTGCTCCATGAGCACCCGGGCACTGAACGGGTGGCCCTTAAGTGAACAGGCTGAAGCCTGGGTTTGCACCCCTCAGGTCAGCCTGGCTCTCCGACTCTGCAGGAGTCTGTTCTCAAGCTCTGAGCAGCTGTTCACAACTAAAAGGTCTGAGGTCACAGGGGCCAGCTGATGGCAGGGTGGACACATCTAGGGACCGGCCAACCTGCTCACCCTGGACAGCCAGCGGGGCCAGACAAGACCCGCTGAAGAGGCCATTCTCCGTTAGGGAGTAAGGTTCTGGCAAACAGCAGCAGGCAGATCCCTTTCCAGGAGCCCTGTGCGCAGGTGTCTCCTCTGGCACCAGCTGACTCAGGACTTCCCATGGGACCCTGTCTACAGGCCCCCGAGTCACCCGCTCCAGTGGGATTGGCTGTGTGGAGTGTCAGCAGGAGTGGGGAGGGCTGGGTCCCTCCCGCATGGCTGCCAAAGGGCTGGCTGTGTCCCTTGGGTGAAGGCCGTGAGTCTTGTCTGGTGGCCTGCCCTGGGGTGGGCACCTGCAGTGTGGTGTCCCAGGCACCGTGCCATCCTGGGGCTGCCCCAAACCCAGCCATCTTTCAGACAATCCAAGGCTCTCCAGCCCCCCTGACCTCATGTGAGTGCAGCCATGGTTGGGCCCTCATGCAGGATGACAGTGCCACAGCCCAAGTCCCTCGAGGGGCAGAACCAGCAGTGGGCGTGTCCTCTATCTGCAGTGGGACTCCAGCCTGCCCTGTCCACCCAGCCCACCTCAGGCATCCCAGCCCCACGGGGATGGGAACAAGGGCTCGGGCTAACGGTGGCCTCCACCTGCCCAGAGTCCAGGTGCAGAGAGGAGGCAGAGCAGGGTGGCAGGTCCCTCAGAATTAGGGATGTCCCCAACACACGGGGGTGGGGGTGGGGGGGCAGAGAAGGCACGAACCTGGCACAAGGGATGGAGAATGATCCAGACAGGCAAATCCACACTGACAGAAAGGAGACTAGTGGCCGCTCAGGGTTGGGGGCAGAGGAAATAGGGGTGACCACTGATGGGTACGGGGGTTCTTTTTGGGACCATGAAATGTTCTAACATCAATGCAATGGCCGCACGGCTCTGTGAACATACTGAAGGCCACTGGGCTGAGCCCTTGACACAAGTGTCTCAAGGGCAGATTCTGGCTCAGGAAGATTGTCACGCAAAATAAGAATAAAAAACCCACATTCTCCGCCCAGCACACTGACGCGCGTACGTATGTATGCGCACACGTATGTGTACACAGGACTCTCAGACATGCACACGCACACATGTCTTTCCTCTTCTGTTTACCCAAAGTCACAGACAGAATCATTTTCCTGAACTTGAACAGACAACCAGCCCTGACGTCCTGACAGGAACCCGTACGGCCAGAAGGCGTCTTTTCCTGGTCAGTTAAACCACAGAAAAAACAGCAAATCGGCCACTTGCCTTTGTCCCCTGCCTGCAGGCAGAGGGTCCCGAGAGATCAGCAATGTGGGGTCTGAGGAGCATCCGGCCATACCAAGCACCTCTGTGCGCCGGGCCGGCGGCCAAGCATGAGCAGGTAGGAAACACAATTGCCGTATCCCCTGCTGGCAGGGAAGATTCTGGGTGTCACCTGGATAGGGCCCCAGGGCACACCCGGGCACCCTGACGGCTGGTGAACCTCATTTCCTGGTGTGTCTGTGCTGGTCTCTGGAGAGACTAATGTTTGAACTGTTGGCCTGAGGGACACAGATGGCCTTCGTCCCCCAACCCTCTGGGTGGGCATCACCTCTCTAGGGTCAGACGCCGGCTATCCCTGTGCCCTGCTGATCTCTCGGGGGCTGGGCTTCCAGGTGCACCTGGGACTCCCGGTACGAGGAGGGTCCCACCACCTCGGACACCACAGTCCCCTGGCCATCACGGCTCAGCCACATCCAGCCTGACCTTGCACTCAGGTGGCCCCCACACCTGAGCCCCGTCCCAGCCCCTGGGCAGGGCTGCCGTGAAGACCAAATTCAACCCAGTGCCCCGGCCAGTAGACCACTGCTTCCTAATACAGGAGAGTGAGACAACCCAGGAAGGCTAACGTGGGCGGTCCCCATCCCGTGGCATGCCCCCTGCTGTCTATAGATGGGGAAGCAAACTGCCCAGGGCCCAGAAGTTTGCACATTGCCCAGACGGAGTGTGAACATGGATGGGCTGGCTCAGGAGGCGAGACGGCCTCTCCTTCCGAAGGCTGGAGACACAGCAGGTGACACAGGCACACCGGCCACGTGTCCTGGGCTGGACCCAGAAATGCACCTGCATGTGGGTCCTGCCCCGGGGCTCAGGCCCTCGACCACTCTCCTCAGCCCCTTGCACGCCTCTTGTGCCAGAATTTCCCAGCAGATGCATTAACAACGCAGCTAGCTGCCCTCTCCCGTAGACCTGCTAAATCCGTGGTGGGGGCCGTGAGAGATTCAGTGTTTTCTGGAGTCTCCTATGACCTGATGGGACTGATTTCCATGCAGCCTGGCAAAGGCTGAGCCACACCGCACCACAGCCCCGCTCGCCAGAATGCCTTTGAGGATGGGGAACTCACTACTTGAAACACTGCCAAACTCTCAGCCGTCGGACAGGGCTCATCAGACAGTCCCCAGCTTCCCAGCACCACCTCCCCACCCGCACAACCAAGCAGCACCCAGGCAGGCGCCCCTGGAGACCCTCCCCAAGGGCCCCTGTGCCACGGCCCGCCCTCCCAGAAGCAGAGAGAGCTGAGCCTGCCTGTGCCGCCCAGAGGTAGTCCAGCCGCAGCCTGACGTCCACCTGCCGGGCGTGCAGAGCCAGGGTACAGGAAAACAGCAGGATGGCCATGATGGGCTCGAAGCTGTGCCCGGAGGCCGCGCCGCCCCTGCGGGAGACCGAGGAGAAAGCCCGTTTGGTGCGGAGAGCCCAAGAGCTGTCCACACGCACCCCTGGTGTCCTCGGACACGACTCTCGGCCATGCCGCCCCTGTGGGAGACCGAGGAGAAAGCCCGTTTGGTGCGGACAGCCCGAGCGCCATCTACTCGCGCATCCAGACACAACTCTAGGCCGCGCTTGGCCTGGCCCGGCCAAAGCCGCTCTCGCCAGGAAAGCCAAGGCCTGGCTGAAATGGGGGCCCAAACGGACACGTGGGGAAGCCACCAAAGCCATCTGCTTCCTGGTCCGCAAACCAGAACGGACAGCGGTGCCAGGGTGTGCTCTGGAGGGAGCGGCACCTACCCGGGCGCCCGAGTGTAGCCGCTGAGCTCCAGGACCAGGATGTAGGACGTGGTGAGCACGAGAAGCAGGATCATTTTGGGCAGAGAGGACACCCGCAGGAAGATGGCCAGCGGGAGGGTGCCCACGAGGCCGCAGAGCAGGGCGTGGGGCGCAGACTCGCAGGGCGCGGCGGGCAGCACTGTGTTCCGGCCGCCGGGCGTCAGGACCAGCAAAGACCCATTGGGGCTGGAGCTCCAGGACCAGGGCAGGCAGCCCACCTGCAGGGGCGGAGGAACAAGGATGGCGGGAGACCCTTGCTGAGGACCAGCCCGCCCTCCTCCCCAGCCCGCCAGCCCCATGGCAGTGCTCCTGTCCCTGCCTCCCCTATTACTCCTGCCCCCCCCCCGCCTCCACCCTCTGCACAGCCCTCGCCCCGTCCACATGTCACTCCTCCAGGGGACCCGTGGACCCTGCTGCGCATCAAGATGCTCACCACGCATCCTTGGGCCACAGAGTAGATCAAGACCACGACAAAGATACACAAGACTGTGCGGATCTGAATCGTCAGGCAGCCTGGAAAACACTGAACAGAAACACAGGTTAGTGTGATGGAAACAGAGACAGTCCCCATGCAGGGCACGCAGGGCCCTGGGGGCCGCTGGACACGTGCACCTGCACGCAGATTCCTAGGCTGTGCTCACACGCTTCCCCTCCCAGGAGAAAAACCGCCCACACTAAAAGAAACAAAACCCAGTGTCTTTGCCTTAAAAGAGCACCCCCTAAGGGGTCTGGGTGGCTCAGTGAGTTAAGCATCGGACTTCAGCTCAGGTTATGATCTCATGGTTTGTGGGTTTGAGCCCTGCATTAGGCTCTGTGCTGATACCTTAGAGCCTGGAGCCTGCTTCTGATTCTGTGTCTCCCTCTCTCTCTGCCCCTGCCCCTCGATCTGTCTCAAAAATAAACATTAAAGGGGCACCTGGGTGGCTCAGTCGGTTAAGCATCCGACTTTGGCTCAGGTCATGATCTCATGGTTCGTGGGTTCGAGCTCTGCATCAGGCTCTGTGCTGACAGCCAGCTTAGAGCCTGGAGACTGTTTCAGATTCTGTGTCTCCCTCTCTCTCTGACCCACCCCGCTCATGCTGCCTCTCTCTCTCAGAAATAAATAAAATATTAAACAAATAAATAAATAAACATTAAAAAAATGTTTTTAAAGAGCAACCCTTCCCACTCTGTGACTTGGGCCCAGAAACAAACTCAATCTGTTAATGTCACATATTTATTACATTTAACCCTCCTATCTCAGAAATAGCCAGAATTCACATCTACTTGCATCTTCTTTTCTCTGCTTCAAGTTAACTTCTATCGTTTTCTTCAGACAGGCTTTGTACCTGTTTCGTTAAGTTATTAGCAAGTCAATTTTAAATCTATTTAAATATGTCCTGCAATATTCAAAGGATGATCTCGCAGGTAAAAGTACGAAGCTCTTTTCAGATTCATGCTCGTGAAATTTGAAACGGAAACTAAAATAAAGCCTGCAGGGCCCCGCACAAGCCGCTGACGAGGCCCCAAGCAGCCGAGTGCCTGCCCGGTCCTCCTGGGAGGTCAGGACCCGGGTTTTCTCCGTCTGTGGGCGAGCAGAGGCGGCACCATCACCCGCCCCCCTCGTTCAGTGGACTAGGATAACAGGCGGCTGTGGACTCATGCCGTGGCAGCCACGGATCCGGATCCCGGTCAGATTCCTGAGCCCCAGCACGGCTGCACAGACACGCTGGGTCCCCCAGACCTTGTAAAGAAGAGGTGCAGCACCGACTGCTCTAAGGACCTGGCGCCCGCCGCCACCCTCCTGGACTAGTCCCGTGTAGCCCACAACAAGACTCAGAATGCAGCCACAGGACTGTCGCCCCCAGTGGGATGAGGCACAAGCAGCTCGTGCATTCACTCAGCAAATGCGGGAGGGGCTCCTCCCTGGGGCACCGCCATGAGGGGGGTTTGGCCCCTGGCCATAGGAGAGGCAGAAACAGCACGGAAGTCCCTCGGAGAGGCGGTGAGTGGAAGGCCAGCAGCTGAGGCTGAGCAAGCCCTGCCCAGGGTGCACGGAGGCCGCCCCCCGGCTGTGCAGTGCACAGCGAGGGCAGCTGTGCAGGGTAAGTGGCACAAAGTCACATGCAGCGACGCAGATGAGCAAGCCACACCCACCTGTGTGGCAAACGGCCAAACAGGGCTGGGCTCCTGTGGCCACTTCCCATCTAGAACACAGAAGCTACCCCATGTGGACGCTCTGGGTCCAGTCCCTGCCTCAGAGCCCTGTTGACTTGACACTATGCACGGCAAGCTGTGGCTGTGACCCTTCACGAGGTGGTTTACTTACACACAGAATTCACTGAGTCATGGACCCACTGCTTTAGCACTTCGAGCTTTGTTTCCGCCAGCTGGGCACCCGTGCCACGTGACGTTCCGTGGAAATGAAAGTGCCGGCAACTGGGTCCCAGTCCCTCACCCTCCCGGGCACTGTGTGACCTCACGTTCCATGGTCCACACCCCAGGCAGCCACAGCACTGTTTCCCCAGAAGAACGGGCGCTCGGCTGCACCAGCCACTGGGTCCTCATCCCTCGCTTCCACCACAGGGATCTCATCTTCCCACGGAACCCACACCGTGGGGCCACAGGACCTGGCACACTGCCTCACCAGGCCAGGACACCACACCGAGGGCCATGACGTGAGCTGACGCCGCAGCTTTGCATGAGCTAGTCACCCTTCGTCATCCCTCCCTGGGGCCTGCTTCAGGGCCGCCGACCCCAGCTGCCCAAGGGGCCACCACGCATCCTCAACAGCTCACACTCTCAGGACCCCACTGCTTCCTGCTCGCCCCACCAGCCAGGCACCTCCCCTTACCACCGCCCACCCCAGGACTCTGGGGCCCATCAGAGCCAAGAACACAGCTATCACGGGCTACCATGGGCTCCCTGTGCTCGTGAGCTTGCCGTGGGTTGGGCCCTGGAGCGGCTGGCCGCCCCAATCCATGAACCACAGCTCAAGCTCCACACAGGGTTTGAGGTGAAGCCGGGCCTTCTCTTCAGATACTCATGTCCTGCTCCAGGGCCTTGTGGGGACTCCCCACTTGGCCACAGGCCAGTAGGGGGCCAGGGACCCTGAGCTGGGCATTGCCTGGCCCTCCAGGCCCTGAGGCTGGGAGTGCGCAGCAACTCTCTGTCATCTGTGGAAGGGCCACGGATGCAGCCGGGCCCAGCAGGCCACGGGGGAACACGTAAATCATATAGAGAAGCGGCCCAGATGCCACAGTCCACACTCCGGTGACCCTGTGGCCTCACAGATAGCATACGTCGGCCGACAGAGGAAGGGCAGAGTTGGCTGCTCACAGATGTTGGGCAGCGCCGGGCTGTGAACTCTGCTTGGAAGGAGAACCACGTGTGGGATCATATGCTAATCCGTGGGCTGACACTGACCCTGACCCTGACATGTGGGGGGCTGTGTTGGGCTCTCAGGCTGCGGGTGCGGGACTCTACCAGGGACAGAGACCCAGCCAGGGAGAAGGCCGAGTCCCGATCACACGGGAGGGGCCCTCAGATGCCCCCATGTCGGCACGCAGCTTCCCTGTGGGGCCCCACCTGGCAGAGGCCTGGATGCTGGGATGGAAGCTGATGGGTTCTGTTGAGCAAGACACCAAAGTGGCATGCACCCCGCCCCGGACGTGCCCCGCCCCCCAGACGTGCTGGGTGGACTCGTCTGCACGATGCCTGGAGGAAGGCCAGCCTGTGCTCAGGTGCGGGCCGCCGGGCATGAGGGCCCAGAGGATGGGTCTCCGTGGCACATCATACTCCCCAGAAAAAAACAGCCTGGGCCCTCCCTCCTCCCTCAGGTGTTTCTGAATACGCACTACGGTAAAGTCCCTTTGTCATCGGGACCGGTACGTGAGCCAGCAATTCTGTTACTTGCAAAGTATCATTCATTACGGCCGCCATGACCACAGCTGGGCCAGGGGCACTGAGGCCTACACTCCACGCGAACACCTGATCCTAGACATGTTTGTGCAAACGCAAAGGGTTAAAATGCTCTTTTGAAAACTGAATGACATGGGGCGGAGCCTACATGCAGGGGCGGAGCCTGTGGGGGTGGGCCACAGGTGGATGCCAAGTCGCCTATCTCAGCTGTTAACCGCCCCCATTATTAGCTTCTGTGTCTGGGGACAAAGGAAAGGCACAGAAAATTGCTGTAATACAGGAGAAAAGAACGGGTATGACGCAAGCACTGGAGACCTCCCCCAGAACGTGAACCACAGGCATCAACCACGTGAACCACGTGGCCCAGCAGCCTGGCAGTGGGTGCACCTCCTCAGGGCACACTGTCCACACACAGCCACACAGGGCAGCCACGATGACCCCAGCAGTGGCCATGTAAGCACCCAGAAGCACAATATGCATGAAACGTCACCAAGGCCACCTGCATGTGACACCACAGAGCACAATGGGTTGTCAGCCACTCCGTGGAGTGTGTCCTGGCTAGGACACACACACAGGCGACCACGGCCGTGTCTTCTGACCTTTGCACGCTCTGCCGGGTAACTTGAGCCTCATGGCCCCGACGGTTTACAAGACAGAGGCAGGTGTGGCAGCCATGGCTTCCTCCACCTCCAGGGTAAGGCCCAGGAAGCAGTGTCCAAGCAGGGACAGGACCTGCCCAGGTCTTAGCAAGTGTCAGGATGACGCCGTCTGAGCTGTCATGGTCATAGACACACAGCTGGAACCGCCTGCAGAAGCCCCAGCTGCAGGTACGTGGGACAAAACTGTCCTGCACTTGTGTCCCAGCCCCGTGAGCTGCAAGTTGAACTTGGAAGACGGGGGTCTTCCTGGGGGCACCGGGGGCTAAGGCCGAGTGAAAAGGCAGCCCCAGAGGACAGGAAGGGGCGGGCTGCAGGTGGGAGGTGGTAGAGACACTCACAGGAGCCCTGGGGCCTATCTGCTCCCTCCTCGAGGGGACACGTCCAGGGCACAGGGGTGCCTCACCGCCCCTCCCCTCTGCCTCTGCAGGAGCGCCACAGGGCCGGGTCCCAGCTCCAGGAGGAAGATGGGAGAGGAGGCCAAAATGTGAAGTCAGCACCAGGCCTGGCGGAAGGGTGACAGGGCCACTGTACAGCCATGCCCACGTCCACCACGTTCCTAGGTACCAGGGAGCCCTGGGCCTGGAGTCCCCTAGAACAGAGAATACCTGAACTTGCAGAGGCCTCTGACAGCCCCTCCCCCAGATTGCTCCTTCCCCCAACAGTTTACCCCCTACCCACTGCTCCTCCCCTGACAGCCCCTCCTCCCTCCCCCACTGCTCCTCCCTGGATAGCCCCCCCACAGCCTCTACCCCCTCCCCCTCCCTGCTGCTCCTCCTGGCACAACCAGCCCTGGCCACCACCCCCGACCCCGGGCGGCATTCTGGCCTACACTGGTCCTGGTGGCCACCTGGTCTAGCTCAGCACCTCCCAGCCCTCACCACGCACCCTAAAGCCTGCTCTCCTGCAGGCCCACAGCTCTGTGGGCCCCTCCTCCCATCCCGGCCTCCTGGCCTCCTGCCCCCTTGTTCTCTAGCTTCTCCCCACCCCGGCCCCCCCACCTCATGTGCCAGGCCCCCGTTACTGGTGTGCATCAACTCAGTTCCCACCCCGAGTCCAGAAGGGGACATGGAGGCCCCAGCGCCAGAGCCCTGAGTGGTAGGGGAGTCAACCCAGGGGGTGAAGGTCCCTGGTGGCTGTGGGGATGGCACAGCTGCCCAGATGCCCTGGCTGTGGCCACCTGCCACATCCCAGAGGAGAATGCTGCCCACTAACCCTGGCTTTCCCTGGGGGGGGCCTTGCTCCCAGGGACCCAGTGTCCCTGCGGGTGTGGCCATGCCCACCCATATCTCTTCCATGGCACACACAGCCCCTGCTGATGGCCCAGCCACCTGCCGTCCGGCCCCCAATGAACCCCCTCTTGTGGACCATGCCCTAGCCTGGATGCTCAGAACTAGCGCAGGGCTGCCCATGGGCCCATCTGACTCCGAACCCATCCACTTCCGGTGGGAGACCTGAGGCTGCCTCTACCAGGAGAAGCGTCCCCCCCGCACCAGCTCCCAGCGCCCCGGACGGCACAGCAGGCTGCAGAGGCAGATCACGTGACCGACCTGTCTTACAGTACAAAGTGTCACTCTGTCTATGGAAATGAGTGAGATAGAAACGCTGTTCAGAGAAATATTATTTTTTCACAGCGAAGCAGCTAAGGGAGTAAAACCGAACTTAGTTTTTCATAGAGTTGCCATTTCCCACAACCATGCAAAGCCAACGCTGGGTCCGCTGGTCGTAGCTGCGGGGTGACGGGAAATAGGTGTGGAGATGAGGCCCGGAGGCCACTGCAGGGCTGGAACCAAGTGCCCTCCCAGGCGCACGGCTGCTCGGGACGCCAACCCAGTCCCCAGCCCCAAAGGTCCCAAAAGCGAAGCTAGAGGAGAACCCCATCTACTGCAAGCGCACATAGCAACCCGCCCATCTCCTGCGCCGAGGGACTCTCCCCCCCGGAGAAGGCAGATCACCGGTATCCCTCACAACATCGCCACAGACCACCTGCCCCATGTCCCCGAGGCGCTCCCAGAAGCACCCGGCCCACGATGGGGCTTCGTGAGCTCCTGCTACCCCAGAGAGGGGTGAGGGTCTACACTGCCCCACATGTGCTGTCCAGACGACAGGTGGAGGCCACACGTGTACCTCCAGACAGGACACACGCAAACACACACACACACACACACACACACACCTGGACCCGGGTGACATGCAGGTACAGGACACAGGCCACCAGGAAGCAGATACAGAAGACCAGCAGCAGCAGGAGGACCAGGTTCCTAGGGCAAAGGACGCGGAGTCAGTGGGGCCGGTGTGGGCGTGGTGAGCCCACCTGGTGCCTGTGATCCCCCCAGCCCTACTCCTGACAGCTCCCTTCCTGCCCCCCTAGCCCCCATCCCTGCCAGCTTCCCCCCACCCCCACCAGCTCCCTTCCCACCACCCCCCAGTTTCTATCAGCCCTGGGCCTGCTGAGAGGTCTTCCCCCTGAAGGGCTGGCCCCAGGCACTGCCCTCTGACTGGAGTTCATCTGGGAGCAACTTTTCTAGAAAAAACTTGGTGCTGAGGCAGGGCCATCAGGAGGTCACCGCACTCAGGGTGGCTGGGGATGGGGCGGCTCCCGAGTGCTTTCTGGAACCTCTAAGGGGACCGCTGCCCTCAAGAGGTCTCATGAAGGAAGTGCTCCTCTGGAAGACAGGGGGACCCCCGCCCCGGACACCCGGAGAAACAACCCTGCCAAACTTGCTGGGACTGAGCCCTGAACACTGCTACACTACTACCTCTTCCTCTGCAGAGCCCGCTCTTCCTCACTCTAATGTGTCTGAGAGCGACACACGCCTGCACTTCCTCCCTCAAAACCCGGCCTGAAGTCGAGGCTGCACGTGTGCACGTGGAGTTGCCAACGGCACACAGTGGCCCAGGACTGTTTCAGTCAAACTTCAGAGACAGACTGAGCGCCCCACACGTGTGCGTCGGGGCCCCGTGCAGCCGGCTGTGGCCGGGACCGCGGGGGACTAGCGGGGGGACGGGGAGGGAGCTCTGGGGGCCTTGTCCTCCGGCCGCCACGCCCCACACTCACTGCGGGATGATGAGCAGGTAGACGAGGCCGAACACGGCGGCCAGGACGAGGGCCAGGACCACGGCGCTGGTGAAATACTCATCCTGGAGCTGGTGGTACTAGGAGACACAGAGACCCGCCATTGGTGGCTGTGGCTTCCAGGGCACACGCAGGGTCCCCCGAGGGCGCCCCCTGGGAACCGTGGCTGCGTCAGAAGGGCGAGTGCGGGTGGCCAAGGCCCAGGGGCCTCCAGGATCCCCCGCGCCCCTGAGGTCCCGGTCACCTACCTTGCGCTCCCGCTCGGCCTGCTTGTACTTGAGTGTGAAGAAGTCCAAGTCCGCCATCTCCAGCTCCATCTGGCGCGCCTCCAGAAGGCGGCCAATGTACCTGTTGACGCGGGTGCCTGGGGTGGTATAGGCGGCATTCGCCGAGAACGAGGAGCGGTTTCGCAGCTTTTCCGATGCGGTTCTCAGCGCCCTCCGCTGCGGCCGTCGGGGAAGGAAAGAAATGTCGTCAAATCCTCTGCGTACCAAAGAGAAAGCTCTCTGCTCCCTCAGGCCGTGTGCTCGCCTGCTGCAGAGTCTGGGGGGTCCAGGCAGGGGGCCTGAGACACGGTCAAGGCTCCTCCACCCACTGGCGCTGCGAGGCCAGGGTACTTAGCTCACTGTCTGTGCTGGGGTCCCACATCTGCAAAGGGGGTCACACAACGTGTATGTGGCAGCCTATGTGGACGGGCCTGGGAATGAGAGGCAGTGCCTGGCACAGGGAACACAACAAAAGTTGGTGTTTTAAAAATGTCAGTAAAACTGAAAAATCTGTAGCAGGTAGGATAATGGAAAAGAGGGGAAGACGCTAACAAGTTTGGGGGGAAAGTGTGATTCAACTATAGACCTTGAAGACATCAAAAGGGCAAGAAGGAAACACTGTAAACAATGGTACACAATTGAGTTGGCAACTTAGATCAGCAAACTACTCAAAATGCACATACTACCACAACTCACCCAACACGAAATATTGTCAGGATAGCCCTGTAATTACTAAAGAAATTCAATTCGTAGCTTCAAAATTCCTGAAAAAGTAATTTCCCAGCCCAGATGATGTCACTGGAGAATTCTACTATTTAAACAAGAATTAACACCAACTCTATATGGTCTCTTCCAGAAAACAGAAGAGACAACACCTTCAAACTCTCTTCATAAAGTCAGTATTGTCCTGATAACACAATCAGACCAAGAAGATGCAAAAAACAACCACGGGCCATCTCTCTCAATATTGATGAAAACATTCTTAACAGGGGCGCCTGGGTGGCTCAGTCGGTTAAGCGTCCTACTTCAGCTCAGGTCATGATCTTGTGGCTCCTGGGTTCGAACCCTGTGCTGACATCTCAGAGCCTGGAGCCTGCTTTGGATTCTGTGTCTCCCTCTCTCTCCACCCCTCACCTGCTCACACTCTGTCTCTGTCTCTCAAAATAAATAAACGTTAAAAAAAATCCTTAACAAAACAGGAGCAAGTAGAATTCAGCAGGATATGACTAGAAGTACACACCGTGACCATGTCTAGAGGCACAAGGCTGTTTACATATTTGTACATTAATGTAACATATCACATTAACACCCAGTTGACCACCATATAAAAAGTCCCATGGTCGTATGAATTGACGCAGAAAAAGCATTTTGACAAAGTTCGATACCCGTTCTTGATAAATTCATAATCAGAACACCAGGGAGGGAGGGGGACTTCCCCAACTTAATGAGGAAGATCTACAAAATACCCACAGCCGACGTCATACTCTTGAGTGAAAGACAGAGTCTCAACACAATGCTAGAAACCCCAGCCACTGCAATAGGGCAAGAAAAGGAAATAAAGACAAATGTATTACAAAAAACAAAACTGTCCCTATTGTAAACGACATGATGGTCTACGTAGAAAGTTCTACAGGAAAGAAAACAAATGAATTCCACAAGATTACAATACAAGATGAATATAAAGAAGGTACTTCCTTAGGGGTGCCTGGGTGGCTCACTGGGTTAAGCATCCAACTTCTGCTCAGGTCATAATCTCATGGTTTGTGAATTTGGGCCCTGCGTCGGGCTCTGTGCTGACAGCTCGAAGCCTAGAGCCTGCTTCAGATTCTGTGTCTCCCTCTCTCTCTGCCCCTCCCCTGCTCACGCTCTGTCTCTCTCAAAAATAAATAAACATTTAAAAATTTCAAAAAACAAGGTATTTCTTTAATACCAATAATCAGCATGTGAAGACCAAATTAAAGTTCAAAACCATTCATAATCATGGAGAAAAATGAAGTAGGTACGAATCTAACAAAACACGTACACAACATGTATGCTGCAAACTGTATGATGTTGTTGATAAAGGAGATTAAAGATCTCAGTAAATGGAGGAACACACGTGCTTGTGGATTAGAAGATGCAATGCGGTAAAGTTGTCAATTCTCCTCAGATGGATGTACACAGGCTTAACATAATCCTTATCAAAATATAGGAACTTTTTTATAGATAGATAAGCTTACTGTAAATACTAAACAAAAGCAAAGAGACTCGAATAACTCATTTGTGTGAAAAATAATATAGTGAGAGACATTGCTCGACCCAACGTTAGGACTGATTGTGTGAGTACATCACTCAGGCAGTGTGGTGTTGGCGGAGGGCCAGACTAGAGAGTCCAGAAGCAGCCTCCTACAAGTACGGTCAAGGATTTTTGACCAAAAAGCAAAAGCAATTCAAAGGAAGAAAGACAGTCTTTTCAACAAACAGTGTTGGACCAAATGGACATCCATCAGCAAAAAAGTAAATCTTGACCTAAACCTCACCCCTTATAAAAAAAAAAAAAAAAACTAACTCAAAAGGGATCACAGGTTTAACTATAAAACAGGTACAGTAAGACCTTGGATTGTGGGCTAACGTGTTCTACACATGTTCCGCCAAACAGCAAACATTTCTAATAAATGGAACTTGATAAACCAGCCATGTCTTGCAATACAGGTCGTATGTGACACCCAATGTCACAGGATCACAAATGAGCCAATGATTTCTCCCTCTTTCTCTTTCTCTCACTGCAGGATTGTGGGTGATCATCCCCCAGGCTCAGATGCTGGGTCTCAGGCTGCGGTGTTTGGCAGAAATCAGTGATGTTTCAGACGTTGGAAGGTGCCCACAACTGGCACTAGTGTGTTTTTATCACTTCAAAGCCCCTGTGGACAGTCCTTTGCTTTTCCAGACAAGAGTGAGCTTAGGAAGGCTTTGCTTCCTTCTAGGTAAGGCTGCCTGCAGATAGAGACGCTTTCCTCTGCTGGCTTATTGCCAGTTACATTACATACAGAATATGACAAGAGTTTATTAATACTGTAGTCAGCATCCATGCGAGCACGTACAATGGCTTCATACAGAAGATTCCGTTGAGCAACAGACAGCAGTGATTCCGTTAGCGATCATGAAAGTCGTCCTACACAATAACCCTCCTCTCTCTTGTCTCCCTCATGCCAGCCACCGAGGTTTTCAAACGTTAAGTACCAGTTACTTTGCTTGTTTTTCTTTATACTCTATATTTTCTTTATTATTTCATATTATCCTACAGCATTGTAATCATTTTTATATGAATATCTTCGGGTTGTGAAACGAATCATCTGAGTTTCCCTTATTTTTTACAGGGAGATTCGCTTTGATATACAAGTACTTTGGATGACAAGCATGTTTCCAGAACTAAGTATGCTCGCAAACCAAGGTTTTACTGCTAAGTATAAACTCTTAAGAGAAATATTAAAATCTTTGGGGTTTAGGCTACATAGAGAGCTCTCGGGACACCAAAAGCACGGCTCATAAAAGAAAAAATATCAGTAAACTTGGCATCTTCAAAGTTTACAACATCTGTCCTATGAAAGATACTGTAAGCAGGATGGAAAGAAAAGCCACAGGCTGGGGAAAAAACCTGTAAAACCACTCATCCGACAGAAGAATCAGGTCTGGAATCGATCAAGAACTCTCAAAAGTCAATGGCACCAAAAAAACCAGTCCAATTAGAAAGCAGGTGGACATGTCACCAAAACAGAAAACAGAATATGGATAGAAAATTAGCACCTGGGAAGATGGTCAGCATCATTAGCCACCAGGAAAACACGAAATAAAATCGTGAGGTGTCACTATACACTTACTTGTACAGCCAAAATTAAAAAATCAAAAACAAAACAGTGGCAGCACCAAGTGCTGGTGAGGACGCAGAGAAATGGGATCTCCCATACGTGGCTGGTGGGGATGTGAAGTGGGGAGGTCACTCTGGAAAATGGTTTGGCAGTTTCTCAAAAAAAAGAAAAGATAAAACAAGACCCACCCTGTGGGCCTCATTCCCAGAAAATGAGCATTCGCATCCACACATAGCTCCTGGCGGGAGTGCTCACTACAGCTTGATCTGTTGTAGTCAATGCTGGAAACAACCAGAATGTCCGTCAACAAGGGTGCTCAAGCCAGCGGCTGTCCGCCCACACCGGGAAATGCCAGCCAGCCGCGGAAATGGGGAGCTGCTGACACGGGGACACCTTGGAGATGCCCAAGGGCTTTGTGCTGAGTGAAGAAAAAGCCAAGTTCACAGGGTGCAGACTGAGTGCACGTGTACAACGTTCCCAAGTGATGGTCCCTGGGCTGGAGAGGAGTCCGCAAAGCCGGGGTTGGGAGGGTAGCGGGGTGACCACAGCAGAAGGGGGACCGTGGTAGTGACAGAGATGTTCCGTATCCTAAGTGCGGCCACCAGCGTGAGACAAGGCCAAGTCACACTCGCCACCCACCCAAGTCCCTTCCCTAGTTCGGAGGCACGCAGTAGCTGAGCAAGATGCGCCCTTGGGCAAGGCTGCTGAGGGCCCCAGAGCTGGGTGTGCGGACCTCCTGGTGCCACAGCTGATGCGTGTGGGGTCCACACAGTGTGTCACCTTGACCTCGGGAGAGCTGCACAAACGTAAACCCATCACCCACGAGCCGCTGACTTCTGCGCCAACGCCAGCCTGTGAGTGTGTTCTTTCCATGGCCCCTGCCTCCCTGGGCCCAGGAAGAGGCCCAGGGAAACCCACCCACCGGGGAGCAGGGCCAGAGGGCCCCGTGGATCCTGAACTGGCCCCCGCAGAGGCGCTGCCCCGGACCTGGCGCATATGCGCACTCACCACCCCCACCACCCAAGAGCTGCTGGGCTCCCTATGAGGGTCAGCACGCAGGGAAACTTCTGCAGAGGCGAAGGGGGCAGCACTGAGCTCTGGGGGCCAGTGTTGTCCTCACTCAGACGCTGGACCATGAGACGGGAGACGGGTGGGCTCGTGAGGTCCTGCAGGTCACCTGGGTGCAGAGCGCCTCCCACACACTGACTCCCGACCCAGACCCTTGGCTCCTTGAAGGGGGCAAGACCTGAGCCGTGGCCACTTTCTCTTTCTGTGCTTTTCTCCACTGCCTACACCAAGCACGTATTTTCTTGCAAAACAAATCAAAATCAAGGCGAAGAGAAAACTTATTGCTCATTTCAATGTGGCGTTTGGCTGTCTCAGCCTCTCTGTTGACCCGCCAAGGGGAGGGTCAGCGGTTCGAGTGCAGAGACCTGAAAACCAGGGGCTGTGTGTCCCCAAGTGGGCTGCTTAACCTCTCCGTGCTCCAGCTTCCCGGTCTGTGAAATGACAACAATGGCCACCTAGGGGAGGGTCATGGGGATACGAACGTTCATGCCTGTGAAGAGTTGGAAGCGTGTCTGGCCTGGACGGAGTCCTCAAGCTGGCTCCCACTGTCCTCGGAGGGGGCCCCACTGCCACCAGCAGGCGGGTCAGGAGCCCCAGTCCACATGGAGGCCCACGTGTGTGAGGTAGCATTCGCGGGGGCTGCGGCCCTTCTGGCCCTCCAATCCCACTGGACTCCTGCTGCCCTGGGATGCGGCTGCTGGTGAGCGGGGGCGGGAAGGACGGTCGCCTGGCTGGGACCAGGTAGGAGTGCACCCCTGGGGCCCGGCGTGGACACCCAGCATGGACACCCTGTGTGGACGCCCCATGTGGACACCCCTCGTGGATGCTCAGCATGGACCCCAGCTCCCTGCAGCAGGTGAGCAGTGCAGATGACGGAAACATCTCCCCCCTGCGAAGCACAAGCTGGTCTCGGCTTCCCCTCAGGCCGACACCCCAGACATCACAGGCTGAGAACCCGCCCTACCCAGCGACGGCTCCCTCCGGGGTGCGGTTTTCCTTCTAACAGTACATAACGCACACGGCAAGGAAAAGGGGATCAAGGGGGCAGTAGCGTCGGCTCGGGAGATGGAAATGGTCACATGTGGAGCAACAACGGGCTGGGGGCCAGGACATGAGACACAGGACACAGGAGGGTGAAGCTCAAAGCTGCTTGGGCAGAGGTGGTCACCGGGCTCCTCCTAGGCTCCAGGGACACAGCCCCCAGCTCCAGAAGACTGGGGTCTCTACCCCCTGAAACCCAAGGCCTGTGTGGCTGACGTAGATGCCGGGACCCCCACCGAGCGGCACCCCACAACCCAGCAGGAGGACAGAAAATCCAAAGATGGCTCCAACCAAGCCAAGAGGAAAGATGGAAAATCCTGGCAGCCAGGCCATGCAGCAGGGCCGCCCCAGGGGGCACCTGCCATCTGCTAGAGGACTTAACCACAGAGAAGCGTGCAGAGGTGAAGCAGGAGGCCCAGGACGGGGGCAGGCCTATCTGATGGCCCCCAGCTTGCAGGCCATGGCCGAAGCTCCAGACCTAACGAAAGAACACCCAATGTGCATGAACATCCTGAGGACGGGTTCAGACAGCAGCAGGGGTCTGACCATGAATTTACTGACACGTACGCGGAATGCCAAATTGCCAAACCATAAATAAATAAAAACACAAGATAACAGAAAGATGCTTGTAGGAAAGCAAAAGCAGGCCAACCCTGAATAGCACTGACAAGGTTGTAAAATGGAAAGGGCCAGGGCTCACCTGCCCAAAGTGCACCTGCTGCGCTGGCGGCCCCCTGCCTCATCGTCCTCCTCACACGTCATGGCAACCCCCCTACCTGGTCATCATCCATACATGTCATGGTGCCCCCTACCTTGTCGTCGTCCTCACACGTCAGGACGTTGGAGAAGGGGATCTCCGCCTTGAACATCTTCCGGCAGTGCATCAGCTGTACCAGCAGGTAGCACACGGTCTTGAACTTCATCCTCTTGGCTGGTTTTATGTCGGAGAGGATCAGCCCTGGAAATATCTGTGCCGACATGTGGTGCAGAGAAACCCGTGAGGACACTCGTGCTGCCCCTCTGGCCGGGAGCATGAACGAGACGGGGACGGGGAGGTCACCAGGACCCAACAAGGGAACAGACCAGCACCAGGTCCCACAGCCCACAGCTGCACCCAAGGCCTCCAAAATCCAGAGTGAAGCCCACGTCCTGGGGCAGGTCAGTGGTCAGCTGTAGCGCAGGGCCATGGGGAGACCCTGGAAGCCTGGACCACAGCCGCCAGCCCCCGAGGTCCCTGCCCCTTGGAGCCTGCCCTCCACTCCACTGCACTCCTCACCTCTGCCCTGAGCCCTTGCCTGAACCCTGCACCTAACCTGTGCCCTGCACCCTAATCTGAGCCCTGCACCTTCACCACAACCCCGCACCCCTCACCACAACCCTGCACCCCTCACCACAGCCCTGCACCCTCACCGCAGCCCTGCACCCTCACCCTCACCTGCATCTCACCTGAGCCCTGCACCCTCGCCTGAGCCCTGTACCCCTCACCTGTGTCCTGTACTCTCAGCTGAGCCCTGCATCCCTCACCTGACCCTTGCAGCCCTCACCTGTGCCCTGAGCCCTTCACCCCTTCTCTGCAGCCCTGCACCTTACCTGAGCCCTGCACCTCACTTGTACCCTACACCCCTCACCACAGCCCTGCACCCCTCACCCCCACCTGACCCCTACACCCCCCACCTGAGCCCTGCACCCTCACTTGTGCCCTGCGCCCCTCTCCTGTGCCCTGTACTCTCTCACCTGAGCCCTACTCTCACCTGAATTCTGCACCCCTCACCTGTGCCCTGCACCTCACCTGAGCCCTAAAAGAATAGGTCACCTCTATCGCGTCCAGATTAGTTTCCTTGGGCAGTGACCTCGAGTGTCCCACATGATCCTCTGGTGTGCACAGCACCCCTCTCCGCACCCCCATCCCTGACCTGTTTCCCAGGAGAGTCAGTAAAGGACCAGGGAGGCAAGGAGGAAGGAGGCGGGAAGCCCAGCCCCCGAAAGGACCCTGGGCTCTGACAGGGGGTCCAGGAGCCCCTGCCCCTCACACCCCGCCCTCCACACCCCTACCCTGCACCCCTCCTCTGCACACCCCAACCCATGCCCCAAAGCCCTGGCCCAGGGGGTGGGCACACTGTCCCGTCCGTGTCCAGGCAGGAGGGTCCTGGAGCCCACCTTCCGCCGGTGTGACGGCACGATGAAGAAGGTCTCGATGTCGTGAGCTTTCAGGAAACTGTTCCTCTCATGTCCATGGCCCGGCTCCACCTCATAGTCCCCATTCAGGCATGCCAGGGTCGTCTTCGTGATGTGGACCTTCCTGCAACACACAGCAGAGGCGTCCCTGCATGTGGGCACGTGCAGGAGGAGCAGCCAGGCTCCCTGGGTCACACATGTCACATGCAGGTCACCAGGGAAGCCAGGTGGGGCAGGAGCCCAGCCACAGGGACAACAGGAACCTTCAGCAGGGTGGAAGGCGGCAGTGGGGTGAGGGGAGAGGCAGAGTATCCCCAGGACGCCCAGGCCCTGCCCGGTCACACTGTCCCCACACCAGATGGGGCGCTCACACTCACCACGGTGCATTTTCTGGTGAGATAGAGAAACCGTAGCCACCGCCTCCCCACACCCACCCCCAGAGCAGAACCTCGAGCCTGAACACCCACAGCAGCCCCAGAACCCCCAGCCCCCACGCCTCCCAGAGACCAGAGCACTGGGGCCTGTGGGCGAGAAGCAAAGCCCCCAGTGTGCCAAGTGGTCCCCGTGTTCAGTGTCCCCTCGATTTCCCACAGGGACAAGGGCGCCAAGCAGGACGAGAGTCCCCCACCACTGGCCCCCGGGCTCCTGGGACCCTGTCGTGTGCCAGCCTGGCCCAGAGCTGCGCAGGGACAGCCAAGCCACAAGGGTCTCTGGAGAGGCAGGGGGCATCCTGCACTCAGGGTCCTCCATCCACACGGTCACTGAGTGGGGGGTGGGGGAGGGCCGGGGCACAGAAATGTCTCAGTCACTGAGCAGAGGGCCCTCCAGGGCACAGAAACTCAGCAACTGCTCTCAGCACAGAGCGCTCCAAGCTCTAGGAAAGAGGGGGGGTCTCGGGTATGAGCATGCGTGGCCTGGTTGTGGCCAGGGCGTGGCCTGGGAACAAATGGGAGGCCTGGCCAGGCTAGGCCCAAGAGGCCACTAGTGAGACAGGGCCACCTTCACTAGCCAGCACCGCCTGTCACTCGTTCGCCCTGTGTCTGTGGGGAGAGGGCAGTCAGCCCCATGAGCTCCCTCCCTGGACGCAGGCGGGGCTGGGATGCCCGGTGTCCTCTGCCTCAGTCCTGTGGGACAGGAGCCGCTCCCCACCCCACCCCCGAGCCGGGGGACATGCAGGTGACTGCTTCCCCCAGGGCCCCCGGGGCAGGGGGAGTTTACTCAGGACCCAGCACTGTCTGCTTTGGGGCAGTCTGGACCCAGCAAGTAAATTTGGAGGAAATGGCCACAGTACCAGGCAGCAGGTATAAAGGGTCACTTTTAGACCAGAAGATACACATGAAGAGCAAGTGTGTTCGGCCTCTGGTTCCACCCCTGCCCAGCCCTGGTCCCCCAAGGGCGACTGCTCAGGGTGTCCTGTCTGGGAAGGGGCCCAGGAATCCAGCCTCAGGGATCTCAGTGTGAAATGAAAGCCACTCAGTAATGAGACCCACCCACCTGTCCATCCATCCACCTGTCCATCCACCCACCCACCCGTCTGCCCATCCACCCATCCACTTGTCCATCCACCCACCCACCCGTCTACCCACCCACCCACCCATCTGAGCCTGGCCATGCTCTCTGAACACCCAGTGGTGGACGGGGTGTTTGCTGAATGGATGGATGGGGGGGGGGGGGGACGTGTGGAGGCACAGGTGCGTCAGTGGCTATGAGGGTCCATGGGGGAGGTGCTGAGGGACAACCAGGCTCACAGACGACAATCCTCTCGAAGCCCCCTTGGAAAGGCTTCAGTGTGGAGACGGATGTTTCTCCCACGGTCCGTCCAGGAGTTGGGGGGAAAGATGTGTCCCCAAGAACCAAGGCAGGCAGTGAGAGACGGAAGGTCAGAGCCCTGGAGGCCACACAGCTGTGAGCCTGGGAACAGACACCATACAGTCCAGGGTGGATGCGGGGGCGGGTCCAAGGGCGGCTGGCGCTCACCTCCGGCATGGGAGCCGCGTGAGCACAGGCGGCACGTCTGAGAACCGTGTACCAGGAGGATATGGGTTGACCTGTGCCTCGTGGCCCTTCTCCCGTGACCACCGCTCAGCGGAGGGAGGGAGAACCCCTTTCCCGCCTTGGCCATGGGCCCGACGAGGGCAGGGGAGGCCACCGTAATGGAGCTTGTGTGGGGCAGGGGCCACGAGGAAGTGCACGGCGACGCCAAGAGGAAGGCTGTGCGGGCACGGAAGGGCTCTGAGGCCACGGAGCCTCCCTTCCTCGGGTGAGCACAGGGAACAGAGCTGCCAGCAGGTGGCTGGGCATCGGGCCACATCTCTATCCAGGGCCGACTGTCTGTGGAGGCTAGGGCACAGACCAGCACCCGTGCCCCTGCCCTCCCCCTTCCCCCCCAGCACACCGCCTCGCCCCGACTCACCCAGGCAGGCCAGCCGCCTCCATGACATTGGCCAGGGTCACGTCGTTGGACCACACGTCATACTGCCACTTGCGCAGGCCCAGGACCCCGCAGAGGACCCTGCCCGTGTGCAGCCCCACACGCATGTTCAGGTCCACCTCTGTGGCCTCGGCCACAGACCTGCAACAGACGGGTCACAAGCGTGGGGCCGGGCCCTCGTCCACACCCACAAGGCCATACACGCAGGGGAGCCTGAACAGGTGAGAGCAGGGGGGCTCCTGACCTGAGCCGGACCCCGGGGAGGGGGCAGGTGGGAAGGGATGCTTCAGGCCAGGCCTCCCAGACCCGGGCCACTGGGCATCTCACGCTGTGTCCATGCCACCCCCCGCCCCCTCCCCACCCAGGGCGGCCCCTCAAGGGAAACGAGCCTTGAACCTCAGATCAGGGCCTCCAATCCGCTCAGTGATGATCTGCTGACCCAGAGAGCGGGGTGATAACCCGCCAGGAACACCTGACCGTCTCCATGGCCCAAGGCCCTGGGAGACAGCCAGGGTTTGACCCCCACTCGAGACTGGGCCTATGGGGAGGCTGTCGCTTGAAAGCTGTGGCCTGACCCCCAAACAGACCGTATGGGATGGAAAGTGGGCCTCGGACACACGTGTGGACGCCAAAATCAGTCGGCAGTTGCCAGTGGGCAGGTCACCCCCGGCTGAGGAACAGGGGACAGTGTATGACCTCATAACACCCAGGGGAGATGGCCTGCAGGAGAAGGGGTTCCCCACAGTCATAGAGGGAGTCCCCATGGGGCTGTCCCACCCCATTTCCCAGCCCCCGGGAGTGCCACCAGAGTCAGACGCAGGAGGCATATGCCACACCAGGGCAGGGGGACACGCAGCCGTGCTGATGCCCTCCGGAGCTATGCTCCTCGTTATCCGCTTCCCCGATGGCCAGAGCTGTGTTATGAAGGACAAGTGGAAACCGCACCGCTGAGGAGGCAACAGTGGGCCATATGGTGGGCTCCCGGGGACAAAAGTGGGCTGCGCTAGAGGGAAAGGGCCGGGCTGTGTGACCCCGGCCCCTCCCAACCCGGCCTGTCCACAGTTACCCCAGGCAGGTGTGTCCAACAGGCCTCCCTGGGTCAGCGGCCAAGACCAGCGAAGAAGGGCCATAAGGCTGAGCCCAGGCCCAGGACACGGTGGCCCCATGGTTACAAGGTCTGTCATGAGGGGAAAGGGACACCACTGCCATCCTGGGGCCGGCCCCGCCAGATAACCCCCCCCAGCCCCCTCTCAGCATAAAATCACATGCAGACCCCCCACCAGCATAGCAGGTGGCCCGTGAGCCCAGTGTAAAATCCCCCTCCTGCTTCAAGACTGGTGCTAATTCGTGTGCACTGTCTTGTCCCCAGCCCTACCTGGCCCAGCAGAGATGCAGCCTCCAGGGAGCCCTCCCAGATCTGCACCCCCATGCCTGAGGGCTCGTCACAGGCGCCAGTACAGCAGGGTCCATCAGAGACCACTCCCGGACACACCCCGACCTCCCAGCAGGCTGATCCAAGAGACTCGAGGGTGCCAGGCTCTTAAAACATCTGAATTAAAAACCCTAGAGGAAAATAAGGGCTTCAATGATGAAATAAAGGGGTGTCCCGTCCAGATCACATGGATAGGACACAGATACGGGGGCCACGCCCTGGCGAGAACAAGGTCGGGAGGCTTTGGCTCTCAGAACCTCACACAGGCAAGGCAGCCACCCTGCGTGGGGAGGGCATGGGAGCAGAGCTCCACTGGGAGGCCCCGGGATTTCTAGGGAAATCCCATCGGCCCAGCAACTATGGCCACCCCAACCTCTGCCCTCTCTGAGGCTGTTTCCTTGTGTGCAACCTCGGGCGGGGCTGAAGGAGCACCAACGGGCTCTGACAGCAGCTGAGCTAGCCTGGTGCCTCCAGGCTTAAGGCCACAGCCCACAGCTCGCCAACTTCTTCCCTGGCAGGTGCAGGTGTGGGTGGAGACACGGGAGAGGGCCCACGAGGACCCAGGGCCGCAGCCGTGGACCTGCTCCATGCTGCTGCTGGGGGTCCCGATGTGGTACCTTCGGATGTCCATTCCTCTCACTGGAGCCACCCCGCCTGTGAGGGCGGCACCCCCTCAGGCCAGCTCCCCGTGGCCTGGACGTGCAGACTGCCCACAGCTCCGCCAGGTTCCCACCAGCCAGGCCGCCCCGCCCCCAAGAGGCCTCACACACTCCTGGGCCCGCCTCCCCATCAGGGGCCCACCGCTGCCCGTCGCGTCCATCCAGGGTCCGTCCCCCACACCGAAGTGTTCACGCACACCTTCGGAAGTCCATGTGCCACAGGTTACTTAGAAGTCTGACCATAGATGTATCCTCAACATCTATTTAGTTTTACACACGTGGAACACTTTTTCTCTTAATTGTAACTTTTTTTCAGTCATTTTCCAAACTCTACTTAGAGGCAATGGAACAAAAAACAAAATAAGGGTAAAATTTCGGGTAGTTGTTTTTTTTTTTTTAATTTGTAAAAAGAAAGGAATGTAGGGGAACGTGAGTGAGAAAATCTGCCAACGGTGCTTCTGTGCGTCTTCAGCATCTGCAACCGCGGTAGCCAGGAATGGGCAGGGGGCACAGGAACCCGGCAGTCACACAGAGCATGCAGCAGGCCACCAACCTCCAACCAAACCCTGCAGCCCAGACACCCCGCCGGCGAGCTCCGTCTCTCCCTGCTTCCAGAAGGTTCTGCCTCAAACACCTGAGTTCTGTGCCAGCAAACGTGCAAGCGCCTGGACAGGTGCTTCTCAACAGACCATGAGTCAGGAACTATCTCACTGAGACACGCTGGCCAGGAGCAGAGACAGATGGAGGCTTCCAGAACAATCAGAGACACCTCCCCTCCAGGGCTATCCTGACTCAGCCTGGCTACGTCAGCGTCTGCACCCCGAGGACCACACAGCCTCGCCAGCTCAAGCGTGGGTCCCAGAAGGCGGAGTGCACGCCACTCGCCTCCCCTAATCCGACACCACAAAGCAAACACCCAGGCCTCTGGCAAAACCATGTCTGGATTAGGCCCACTTAGTGACACGCTCCCAGTCTGCTTCCAGTCCGGCGCACCACCTGCTTCGGCCTGTGACAGACGGGGCGCCCCTGTGTCACATGGACAATCCCCAACAGAGCACAGGGGCTGGTCCGGGGGCTGCGCCCATGCCCAGTATGAGCGCCCAGGCCTCCACATCCCCTCCAGCACTCGTGGCCTTACCGTGGAGCATGTAAACATCCCCGCTCGTTACTCCCACAGGGGTGAGGGCAAACTTCCTACCAAGTGGAAGCAAGATCCCTCCCCGCCCCTGGACAGGACCCTCAACCCCTCCAGCCTCAGGAGGGGGTCAGCCGCGGGCTGCCCGCGCCTGCCCTTGAGGAGAATCCTTCTGTCACTGTTAACTTATTCAGCTCTGCTCCATCCAGCAGCAGCAAATGCCTGGCCCCTCACAAGCCCAATCTGAGCTCACGTCAGGGAACTTTCGTGTTTGCACAGTGCGTGACCCTAGCAGATGTGCTGCCTAATGACAGTGGCCCTACACCCCTGGTGTGGAATGAGTGGCATCACCTCCCCCACCCCAATCCTGAGCACCCAGAACTGCACACGGGGTCTACATGAGACACCCCAGAAATCTCATAAGTGGCCCAAACCATCCTCTGCCTCTGGATCCCCCGCAGGAGTGTGGTCTGACTAAAGCATGATGGCAGCCTCTTCATGCACAATCCGTGCACACGTGACGATGCCCAGGATGGCCACAGATGAAGAAATGCTGTCCCAGCAAACTGCAGAGGGGGGACCACGGAGCCACAGTGTGGGAGGGAGCGCCCCCCACACGTCCCCATGCAGTGTGGCTCTCCGCAGCCCTGGCACAGGGGGCCCCCAGGACCTCAGGCCGTGCGCACTCACGTGATAGTGTCAATCATGTCCAGGCCCATCTCCACGCAGCAGTGGGCGTGGTCAGTCTTAGGCTGGGTGAGGCCGGACACACAGTAGTAACAGTCCCCGAGGATCTTGATGCGGCGACAGTGATTCTCCTTGGGGGCGAGAGGGCAAACCACACGTTAGTGACGCGCCGGGGCTGGGGACCTACACCTTCACCAGCACCTATGCAGGTGACCACAGAGCGTGCCCCAGGGCCCCACAGCCCTGGGCCAGGGCAGCCTCAGGGGGGCGGGCAGCCCCCACAGCTGTGACCCAGGTCCCCCAGGCACACATATTCCCGGGGCACACAGCCACCCTGAGCTCGCCACCCACAGGGACACCCCAAAGGCATCCACCACCACGATGTCCACTCTCACATTTGTGCACCGGGAAGAGCGCCAGCACCCGCCTGGCCGGCATACTGCCTGGGGACTTGCCACACCTGCCGTGTGCATATCCGTGGTCTCAGCTGGGGCTCCAGCCGGGACGGCAGGTTTACCATCAGACTCTGCGGTACAGCTCACCTGAACGCCCTTACGGTAGCTGAGGGCCGCACACACTTCCCCGCAAGCGGGCCACATCTGCTTATTTACCACATGACACAGCTGAGAAATTCTTCAAACTGCATTAATGCTTCCAAAGGTAACAGCAAATCCGCCACGTGGTTTTTTAAATTTTTTTAATGTTTATGTATTTATTTTGAGAGAGACAGACAGAGCATGAGTGGAGCAGGGGCAGAGAAAGAAAGGGAGAGAGAGAGAGAGAGAGAGAGAGAGAGAGATCCCAGCAGGCTCCATGCTGTCAGTACAGAGCTGACGCAGGCTCAGACTCACAAAACAGCCCAAATCGCGAATCGGATGCTTAACCAACGGAGCTACCCAGGCGCCCCACAAATCTGCTTCGTGTTAACATAAGTAGTAAACATTACGAAAATTTATGACATTAACCGGAACAAAAATGAGCAGTGAGAAGCACAGTGTTGTTTTGGCTTTGCATCTGTCACGTGCGCCTGGGCCTGAGGGCGTCTGAGGGCCCCGCCTGGGCAGTGGCCTTGGGGGAGCCTCTCACAGACCCCAGGCGTCCCCAGGAGCTCAGAGCTCCCCAGCCCCACCCTGAGAATGCATCCTATGGCTTCTGTTTCATGCTGCTCTGGGGTTTCTCACCAAAGAGCTCCCTCCGTGGGATTTCCCCAAAGCTCTACATTAACATGAGGCTCCCCAGCTCCCGCTGCCCGCAGGCCCACGCACGCCCACACCTGTGCCTGACACGCTCTCCTGAAAGGCAGCCCAGGCCACCAACCCGCACCGGAGGACAGGCGCCCATCCAGCCCTGGGCCTCCCTCGGCATGCAGATCCCCCGGACGCCGCCTGTGGGCTGCGAGCTGGCCGCTGGGACATCAGCCTCTGAGGCGCTGTGGGCACCCACTTAACTGTTAGGACCCGGCCTTCCTATCTGTGGAAGGGGGTTCTCCCAGTGACCCATGGGAAGGCCATGCTGTTCTATGATGGCGTCTGGGAGCCCAGAGGCAGACGGCCGGGTGCCGATGCCCACCCTGCAGAGCCGAAGGCCGGGCCCCTGGGCGTCAGCCGGCCACGCCTGCACAAGCCTCCAGGCCAGCAGGCAGCACTCCCTGGCACCTCCAGAGTGTCTGCCCCGCTGCCCCTATCATCACTGTCCCATGGGGGGTCACAGTCAGACTAGGCGGGGATGCTCCACGCCAGGCAGTGAGACGGAGCCCCCTCCCAACCTCCTCCGTCCCCGGGCCCAGGGATGACAGCAGGGCCCCTGCCAGGCCTCGCCCCCTCCTTCTGCAGAAGGCTCCCAGCCGTCGGGAAGTCCTCTCAGCTCCAAGATGCCCGCAGAGGTGACAGCGCCTACTGCACATGGCACTATCCCCACAGACGATTCCGGGAGGGTCACCCATCCCCGGTTCTGGGCACCTCAAGGGTGACGTGTGCCCGTCGGCACCTCCAGGGGTGGCCCTGTGCCCTTGGCTGGGCCGCAAGGTGCTCCAGGCCTCATCCTGCCCACCTTTGAGTATACCGACAGACCCATCTCTGGATGAGCAGGTGTGTGAGCCACATGCAGGAGAGTAGGTGCCCACAGGGGGCTGGGAGTGTGACTGTCACGGCCCCACGCAGCTGATCTCCAAGTGAGGGCCTGCAGCAAAGCCACTCAGCAGTGCACCCAGGGGCCGCAGCTCATAATGTGTGAGGCAGACGGCTCGCTGTACCTCATGCTGGGCTCGGGGGCGGGTCCTGTCCAGAGTGACAATGGCAGTGCATCACCAGCTGTGGGAGGCATGAGCATCAGAGGGAAGGACAGATACACTGGGTGAGGGACACCCAGCTTCTACATGTCCGTGGCTTCCCAGTAACAGAATGGAGAAGCAGAAGAGAAGAACCCCACTGCCTGCCCATGGCGGTTCTGGGGCACCGATGCCTCAAAAATTGATCTGTGACGAGACTCAGCCTTTATTGTTTTTGAGGATAACCAATTAGCTGATGGGTGAACGTTCTTTTTTAAAGAATCGTGAGTGAATCAGCGCAGAAAAAATGACAGAATTAAGAAACTGTGTTGTGTAAACCCAGTGAATTACCAACAGGAAAGCTGTCAGGGCACCCCGGGCGCAACGTCATGGGAGGCAGGTGGCACGTGGGTCACACGGGCACTGCTGGCACACCTGGGGCAGGAACTACCTGAGCCCCACTCCGGGAGCCTGCAAGCTCAGGGAGCAGCACCTGGCACCCGGGTCCCACGGGAGCCGCCCTGAACACTTCGTTGGCACTGATGTCCGAGTACGACACGCGCATCCCCTGCCTTCTGGTTCCTGTGTTCTGCGACGGATGTCTGGGGGCCTTGCTGAGTAATTCCTGCTTGTTCTGCTCCGCTGACCCCAAGGGTCCAGAGCCCACACCCCCACGTCCAATATGTGTCCTCACACCCTGGCCATAACCCTGCCCCGTCTCCCAGGCCAGCCACCAAGCAATGGGGCACACCCCAGAGCCCAGGGTCCGCATCTCCCAGACCATCTGGCCCTGCCGTGCCCCTCCTCTCAGGGACTATGGGGCTGTGACCAATGGCTTCAGGCCCTGTGCCACTGGTCAGCCCAGTGTCCACCTCGCCCATATCCTATCTGGATAAAGGCCCCCAAGGGAAGCATGAGTGCCTCATCAAACAGGTGACAAGGTACATTGGATGTCAGAGCTGCCGCACCTGCATTCCCCTGGGCAGGGGACAAAAGAGTCCCGGTGGCCAAGTCACGGTCATGGGAAGGACTACCAGCCAAGGCTGTGAGCACATGGTGAGGTGAGGTGACATCCAGGACCAGAGAGCAGAAGACACAGACGTCAGCTGCCATCCAGAGGAGTTATGGGTGCCAGAGCAGTGCCTGTGGTATCATCTCTGCCTTTGTGCGTGTGTGACACTTCCGTAAGACAGGTTCTAAAGGCCCCTGAGAGCAGGACTGGGTCTGACTTATACAGGCTGCACCCCATCACCTAGACGGGCTTGGCACACAGTAGGCCAGTTCTGCATACAGTAGCCTGGCTCTGCATACAGTAGGCTGAATGTGCACATACTAGGCTGGCTCCTCACACAAGAGGCTGGCTCTGCACACAGTATGCCGGCTCAACACACGTGAGGCCAGCTCTGCACACAGTAGGCTGGCTGTGCACACAGTACACCAGCTCACCACACACTAGGCCAGCTCTGCACATAGTAGACCAGTTCAGCATACAGCAGGCCAGCTCTGCACACACTAGGCTGGCTCTGCACACAGTAGACCAGTTAAGCACACGCTAGGCAATCTCTGCACACAGTAGGCTGGCTGTGCACACAGTAGGCCCGTTCCACACACAGTAGGCACTCCACAGTGAGCCCTGTCTCCTCAGTGACACGTTCTTACTCCACACGACAGGCGGGGCTGCTGTCCAGGTCCCCCTGCCTCCCCATGCACCTCCCCCTTGCATGCCCAGGAGCTACAGACTCAGCCCCCTGTTGCCGGGCTCTGCGCACCTTCCCAGGAAGAGCCACTGCAGATGCTGAGTGGACATCCCCTCCTTGAAGGAAGCAGCATGAAGGCACAGCCACAGGCCACATCTCTGCACACAGAAGCAGGTGAGACCCGAGACACCCGCCCCTAACACCTGCCGTCTGGGCAGTGAGGGCCACAGTCCAGGGAGAGCCTGGAGCCTTCTCCCAAAAGGGACACACCTGGGTGGGTTTCTATAGGCTGCCAGAAAGGGCAGGCTCCTTAGAATTCCAACCCCCTACTGGGTTTTCAGGAAGCAATACTTCCTGCTAATTAAGGTATAAAGAAATGCAGGCTCTTATAAACAGTGCATGAAGCTCGGAATATTAAACATCGTAATGTGCAAGTCTGCAAGAACCCCGGTAATTCTGGAACCCCTCCCCCAGCACCCCGGCTGCCACAGATTCCTCCTCCCCCAGCACTCTACACGGCCACTTCCCCACCCAGTGCTCCCGCAGTGCATTCCCCCCTGTGCTCCCCCACAGCACCCCTGGCTCCCAGCACTCCCTACGGCGCATATCCGCGTGTGCACACGCCTTCTGGAAGGGGGTTCTGCTCCAGGCTCACCCCACCACACAGGGGCTCGCCCTTGGGTCGGTCTCTGGAGCAGAGCACAGACGATACACGCGCTGCCTCCTCCCTCGGGACAGCGACTCCGAGTCCTGACCACACGCGCCCCGCTCCCCCTCCCTCCTCCCTCCTGGTCTGGATGCTCTAGACCGACCCCTGGAACCCCACCCCACCCACTGGTCCACCCGCGTGCGAGCCCGTGTGCCAAGAGAGCACAGGGAGTGGACAAACATCCCCAGGCCCACAGCACAGGCAGTTCGGGGCAGTGCCCCGGACAAGGGGGTCCCAGCAGGAAGGGGTGGCAGGCCAGCGGGTCCCCTCACGTTTCACGGGCCACAAAACCGAGGCTCTGGCCCCTGGACAGAGCCCAAGGGAAGCCTGAGGAGGAAGATGGGTGGGGGCAAGAGGGACGGATGTGAGCACACACCCCAGGAGCCAGAGCTCATGGACCGGCTTCCTCGGGAATGCACAGACGCGCAGAGAAGGAACAGAAACAGCTGAACAGTCTCT